CACCCTGGCTCTGTCCGTGTAACGATCCTTGATTCGTTGGATCGCGTGTGCGAATGTATCCGCGAGTTTTCCAACGTCGCAGGGGATCAACGTCTCGCAACTGTCGCCAACCATCTCCTCTATCGTCTTCCAATCGAGGTAAAATTGTTGAACGTGCCTCACGTATTCGAACAATCCTTCCTCGTATTCCCCCTCCCACTCCTCTTCCTCCTCCTCGTCGTCATTCGAACGATCGAAAATCGTTTCGTTTCTCCCAGCTTCGAAAATATCCCGCCACTTGGACGTGAGATATTCGTAAGGCTCCTCGTCGACCAGGAGGACAGCATCCTCGAAGATGATCCCCGAATCCCTTATCACGTTCCAAGACTCGACGTTGGGGTACATACCGTCCACCACGTAACCCCCGTCCCTCCACACGTCCTCGTCGATCCTCTCCCCCGGTATATCTTTTATACGTTTGACAATGGCGTCCGCCTCGTTCCTGAACGGAACGTCGCTCGTCAGATAGTAGCCGATCTCCGGATCCACGTCCAACGTCAACGATCTCTTCATCTCCTTCACGTTTATCACGGTCCCTTTCAACTCTCGAGCCAACTCGCGGCAGAGATCGGTCTTCCCGGAATAATTGGGCCCGAACACGACTACTCTGCACGTCGGTCGTGGGGAGAAGGGACGTAGAAAGGTTCGAGGATTATCGACGAACAGATCGACCGCGTTGCTCGAGGAAAGGAAGAATATCTTGTTCATGAAACGGACGCTGTGCCTCGCGCTCCCGCTCGTCGTTCTTCCTCTCGTCAACTCGACCGGGCAGAGGAAATTCCAGGTGGACAGTTTCCAAGGGAAGAACGGGGACACGGTCTCCCTGTTCGCCAAGTCTCGATAAGCCTCCTCGTTCGATCTCTCCTCGAACTCGTCCCCGTGGAGGAGTTCCCTTTCCGTGTTCTCCACCAGCCTGACAGGGAGAATAACGCGTCGCACGGGCAACGTGCGCAGACGGGCGCTAAGCGTGCGGAACATGAACGCTAGGGGGGAACGGCCGTCCAGCTTGATCACGTTCTGAGGATTGTGCAACAGGATACGTTTGTCGATCACTGGCATCACCGAGCGCTTGTAAAACTCGCACTGGACTTTCACGTTCGACGACTCGTCCGATATCCGTTTGAGCAGATACTTCCCGTGATCCTCGTCCAGGAGCCGTTCCTCGTCCATCAACTCTTTGTACAGCTCGTAGCTCGCGTTCATGTAATGCCTAATCTTCTCGTGGTTGAACAACATTTGGATCTTGTCCGCCATGTCGAGGAAACTCGTGTCGATGATACGGCCGATCAACGGATTCAATCGGAAGTGATAGCGCTTCTTCACGTGGTCCTCGTCTGGGCACATCAAGTAAATGATCAACGTGGGTTTCAACGGCCAGGACGCGAAAATATCCTCGACCTGGGTCGAGACGAACTCCTCGTAATTAGCCTCGACCACGCACCCTTCCTTCGAATCTCGAGTCTCTCGACGACACCCGCCACCGTTCTCCGTCGTTTCCTTGCACGCCGTTTCGAACGACGGATTGAAGTATCTCATGGTGTCCTGATACGCGGCGTTAATCGCCTCCTCGTCCATGGGCAGATAGGAGGAGTAATCGAGGGTCTTGTTAGGGATGAGAGGCAATCCTTCCACGATGTACCCTTTGTGGTACACGTCCCGTTTCTTGAGACGGTTGAGTATCAAGTTCGTGATTATATCCGGGCCCACGTAGCCGCCCAATTTCAAGATCTTCGCCATTAATCGACCTTTCTCGCTACCCTCCTCGATCTCGAGTTTGATGAGGTAAACGGGGTTGATTAGAATGCATTTAAACGTGGTGGCGATCATGCTCGCAAGCTTCATTGTGTTCAGGTCGGGTTTTCCGAGCATGATGAAGCAGGTTGGCTCCGTCTCCAGGTATTTCCTTTTCGTCTCAGTGTCCAGGTAGGGGTCGCGGTTCGCGAACGGCTCCTCGGAGGGAGGGAAGTGCGGTACATTTTCCGCGTGGTCCTTCGACAAACTCGACTCGGAGAATCTGGTGAACGGATTCGTGTCCTCGTGAAACGCGTAGTAGTTGTTCGCTTTTGGATACAAACGGGGCAGAGGTTTCGGCCAGGTGGGCGCGTATTCCTCGCGGGGATGGCCTTTGATGTGTTTGAAGTGGCTTCTCTTCACGATGAACGACGCGTCCGTGTCGAACTCGTCCACCTTCTCCTCCCGTTTCTTCCGTAAAGGTACACCTTTGTCGCACATGGTTGGACGAGCTCTTTCATTTTTGAGGTTATCGAAAAATTCTTTCCAACAAGAAGGTTGTTCTTTCAAACAAACAAACGACGCGTGCACAGTATATCGTGTACACCGTGTTTCTTTTTCTCGTCGAGATGCAAGATCGATGATGAGAGATCGACACGTTTCGTCGTAACGAAACATATTCAACGAGTTGCACGATTAATATTGATCTAAAGCAAGTATAATAAAGTATATATATATGGATACTTATTTTCATTGGGGTCGATGGTGCAGAAGGGGAAGTTCTCAGCAGCCGCTTGACTTTTCGTCAACACGTTGAAGAAGGTCGATTTCCCTACGTTAGGTATGCCCACTATACCAACTTTCAAGTTGGTGCCCACACGGCCAATAAGCGGTTTCCGTTCCGGCTCCTCGATTTTCTTTGGCGCCATCCTAAGGGAAATAGAAATCTATCGTCATCTCTCTCGTTCCTTCGGTTTTCCTCCCCCCTTCCAATTCCATCCAAAGGAACGTCGATTCATCTTCTTTTTATTAACGTATTAACGCGTGGCCTCTTTCAACGAAAGAAAGAAAGAAAGAAAGAAAGAAAAAGAAGAAACGATACATCAATATTTGCATATACACGGCGCGTGTAGACGCAGAAATGAAAATGACTCGGCATTTGTTGGCTCGACGCCACGCCCTTCGTCGCTCCAACCCTTGGAATCTTTAACATTTGCCCCCGGCTTGGAACGGAATCAAGGCAGAGAGGGCGAGTAAGTCGGAGCGGCGAGTCGAATCGTGGTGGTGGTGGTGGATTCGAGCCGGGTCGAGTCGGCTTCTCAAACATCGAGTCGCTTTCGACCGCTCGGGGTGACTAATTATATTAATGCGGACGGCACATCAAGCGATTGCTGTATTTACCGCGAGATTGCCCCCCCTTCTTTCTCTCGATCCTTGGCCGCGCCATATCAAAAGGATGGAAACAGGTACGAGACGCCTACGGGAGGTAAAGGGGGATGCGAGGAAGGGAGAGGCGATACGAAAGTGCTGGGGAGAGGAGGGAG